AGGCAATCAATTAGCTTGCCTTGGGCGTGATTACGTCATACAATTCATTTGTTTGTTTCTCAGTACGGACCGCATTTAATGCGCATTTGGTTTATCCTGTTTTGCGTAGCGACTGACGTAAACAATCGAAATGTTAACATATCGCAACTTATTTCTTTTTACTGCTTTTTTAAATTATTTTTTTATATTCTAGGCGACTCTACTTCCATTTGTAGTCATTTGCTTTTTAGCCTATTGTTTTGGCTAAGTTCTAAGAAATGGCGGTATGCTTGATTTGGGTCACACAATATTTCATACACCGATTACAGCAAATATCCCTGACTCATTACTTTGAATTGAGTTCACCGTGTGGCCGTCGTTAGCGTCTGCTGGATAGTGCAAGTAACTGGAACCTCTGTTGTTAGGCGTGTTTTCGTGAATCCTTTATGTTCTTCGTTACCTTGCGTTCTGATCTTTAACACCTTTATGTCTCCCCTCAACCAGGGTTATCAGGCTCGGATAGCCATCGCAATGAGGCTGGACCTTACCGTGGTGCGATGGTTTGTGTGCCTCAGCGATCCATTGAGCTATGCTGGGTGGTGCTTTTGCACCTTCAGGTCACTCATACCAGATTGGTCAATGGTTAGAGGCCAGACAAACTCAGCCTCCTGGTCCTCCAGGTTGGGGGTTGGAATGAGGGTGGCACCTTATTCCTTAAAACGGACTCCTTGTAGCCCAACGCCAAACCCGCTGCCTTGTGATAAGGTTTTTGAACCAAAGGCTTTGGTTGAGAACCCTAATCGTTCTCCTGTCTAGGCCTGGGCAACCTCACAGTATCCTGCCCACGCAATACCATGAATCTTACCTCAAACAAATTGCTGATGCTCTGGCCACCGCAGAGGATAATCAACGGTGCCCTATCTGCTGCATCGAGCAGGGTGGATGGGGTTTGGATGCTACTGCTCAAGCCTTCCCGTCTTCTTATTCCCCATCTTACGCTTTTTCACTCTTACCGTCCCCTTCCAACTTCACTTATATCCCCCAGTTTTCAACCCCCCGATTCTTGGCCCTCCCCCAACATGCTTTGTCAGGCATTTATCTTCTAATTTCAACTCACATGTGAACGCGGAGCGTCACTCCTCTCCTGTCGACAAGCCCATGTCCAACCAAGCGGTCCATTCCAGTTCATCGGCTTCCATTTGGAGCCCTCGATCCTCCTTCAGATTGGCATACCTTAATGTACGCACACTACTACAAATCGGTCAACAGGCAGCACTTGCCCGAACATTGGAGACCCTCTCGATCGATATCTGCTGCTTATCAGAGACCCGCCTGCAAGACTCGAGCTCTGTGCTCAATCTGCGATCCCCTTCAGGTGACGCAAACAGTACTTTCTCATTGCGCCTATCCGGTGACGACGCAGCTTCGAGCAACGGCCAAGCTGGTGTTGGCGTTGCCCTGAGTCCCCGGGATGAAGCTGCTCTGGTTGATTGGATTCCAATCAGTAGCCGGATGTGTGCGGTCCGATTGGCTGACTCCTACAAAGCTTCGAAGTCGCGCGGGATTACTAGGTGCCTATTCATCATCGCTGCCTACGCGCCCACAAACTGTAGCGGTGATTCGGGGAAAGACGACTTCTACCGCCAACTGACTCAGCTCCTTCGCCACAGAAGAAGCACGGACTCTGCTGTGCTGGCGGGGGATATGAACGCACCAGTTGGAAAGTTGTCCACCGATGAAATGCATCTGGGCGGTCAGCACGGTGTAAGCTCACGTAGTGATAACGGTGAGCGGTTACTTCATTTGTGTGAAGATTCTCGCTTATTTCTTGCGAGCACTAATTTCCGACACAACACCCGACAGAAGGTGACTTGGCGCCCACCAGCCTCGAACCAGCCTTGCACGCAGATCGATCACATTGCTATTAGTTACCGCTGGAGAGGCTGCATCCAGAATTGTCGCTCGATTTGGAGCACATGTGTGAACACCGATCATGCACTTGTATGTGTTGACATGCGGATGCGCTTTGGCGGACGCCCACGACGACGCTGTGAGCGCATTGACAACAGCGAACTGACAAAGCCAGCTGTTCTGAATGCGTATCGAAGTACGCTGACATGCGAGTTGAGTAATCGCTCACTGGAGACAATTGATGATCACTGGTCACATGTTCGCCAGACCTTACTAGCAGCAGGCAAATTTCATTTGGTATGTATAATAGCCAACATGGACATTGTGTCTCTTCTCGGTCTCTGGAACTTATCGACGCTCGCCGGCATATTCCGACTCGAAGCGAACACAATGAAACTCGCAAAGAGCTCCGGGCAAAAGTCCGCGCTAGCCTGAAGAGACCGCGAATCTTGGTGGTCTCATCGTGCATCAGAGATGAAAGTGGCCGCTGCCCTTGGCAACCATAGTAAGTTATTCCGTCTGATACGGGAAACCGGCAGCAGGAGACCTGGTGTTAGTGAAACAATTTGTGATGTGAGTGGACAGCCTATCCACAATTTGTCAAAACGTTTGGAGCGTTGGGCTGAGCATTTTGAAAAGCAATTTAATCGGCTAGAATTGTTCGATTCGCCGGTCACTGATCGCCCTACTCGGTGGGCTGTCCCTTTGGATCCACCCTCTCGCTCAGAAGTCGAACGTGAGATCGGACTGTTGAAGTTGAACAAAGCCGCGGGACCAGATGATCTTCCTCCAGCCCTCTTCAAATTCGGAGGCTCTGCTCTTGCTGATGCTTTACATGAATTACTAGTGAAACTGTGGGAGCAGGAGACTGTCCCAACCGACTGGAGCCGCTCCGTTATTGTTCCCATCTTCAAAGGCGGCTCGCGCTCGGAATGCGGCAACCATGGAGGAATCAGTCTGATTTCCATCGCCTCCAAATTACTCGCCTCCATAATTCTTCACAGACTGACTGGCGCGCGTGAAAGCCAGATTCGTGAAGAGCAAGCCGGGTTTCGTCGTGGTCGTGGCTGCATCGACCACATTTTCACCTTGTGTCAGTTGTTGGAGCACCGTCACACATATTGGCGGCCCACCGTAGTCGTGTTCCTCGACATCAAAGGTGCCTTCGATTCGGTTGATCGATGTGCCCTTTGGAATTGTTTACTCAGGAAGGGTGTGCCCAAGAAATATGTAAATATTATCCAAGCATTATATGCGCGTAGCACGGGCAGAGTGAGGGCTTACGGCAAGCTGTCGCCACCCTTCAATATCTCCAGCGGTGTGAGACAAGGATGCCCGCTGTCACCTTTCCTCTTCAACTTCGCTATTGACGAAGTCATGGAGTTTGCATTCACAGGACATGACTTGGAAGGTGTGGAGCTACTCCCAGGAGAACGACTTCTTGACTTAGAGTATGCAGATGACATTGCCCTCATCTGTGACAGCTCCCAGACGTGCCAAGCCGCGCTGGACAGATTAGCACTGGCTGTCAGCCGCTTCGGGCTTTGCTTTGCACCATCGAAGTGCAAAGCGTTCCTCCAAGATTGACAGGAATCGCCTCCTGCGCTGACCCTTGGTGGGGATCAGCTAGAAGTCGTTCAGAAATTCAATTACCTGGGAAGTTGTATCAGCGCAATTGGGATCGAAGACGAGATCACGAACCGTATAGCGAAAGCTCGAAGTGCTTTTGCTAACCTTCGCCACCTATGGCGGCGGCGCGACATCACTCTCGCCCTGAAGGGTAGAGTGTACAATGCATCGGTACGTTCGACCCTACTATACGGTTGCGAAACCTGGCCCCTAAGATCGGCGGACATGAAGAGGCTAGTTACGTTCGACCATCGGTGCCTTCGCAGTTTGGCTCACATCTGGTGGGAACACCGCGTGAGTAACGAGCGTGTTCGACGCCTTGTTTACGGCCCAGGAAAAGGATCTGAACCGCTCAGCACCGTTATTTCCCGCACCAGGCTCCGATGGCTCGGCCACGTGTTACGCATGCCGGCCCACCGACTCCCTCGACGTGCGTTGTTTGCTCACCAGGGATGTGGGTGGAAGAAGAGGAGAGGTGGCCAAGCGATGACTTGGTCCAGGGGAATGAAGTCCCTCACTTCGGAGCTAGCCTCGGTTGGAGCGTCACGGCTCCCTGGTTGGGGTCCAAAAGACGGTGAACACGTTTGGCTGGATACACTTGCTGACATGGCATGGAGCCGACCTCAGTGGCGTTTGTGCTGTGAGTTTCTTTGTCCCTCCCCATCCCTTTTAGCCTCCCCCTCCATCTACGATCTCATTTTCTAGGGTAAAACATAACAAATATTTTTTAATTTATTTTTGCCTAGTAGCTGGCTGGAAGCTTACCGGAACGATGCGTATCCGTTGCTGGTAGCTCAGCTGGCATGCAACTGTTGTATCTATTTTTCCTTTGTGTATTGTATTATATGTATGTATGTATTTCCTTCATGTATTGCGGCACAATAGCGGAGGTGTTTTCCCACCTCTAGCTCAGGTGTACAATGATGATGATGATGAGGCCCGGATAGTGTATTCTACCTCCTGGCTCACGTATGATTTTTGCTTCATCGGGTAGACTGATGGACTTAGTCTCCCGAATGTCTCCTCAGCAAACCGGCGTGCTGGTTGCTTCTTTTCATAACCGAAACGCATTATCCCCTAACCTTTCGTTCTCATTTAGACGAACCTCTGGAAACAACTACCTTTATCGATTGAACTAATCTCATTCTGATGTAGTTAACACAAGGTTTACCTTGGACGCCGTAGTACAGGTGGTCGCAGTATCGTTTTTACTGTTTGTGGGTAACACAAGAATCTCCTGCTTTACCATTCCGCTTGCAGTGGAGCTCAGCTACTACTTGAGTTAGCGTCGAACGCTGCGTACCGAATGTATAGAGGTTGTCACTTTCACGACTGACGTGACCACTCACTGTGGCCCGCATCCAAGTGCATCAATCAACCAGCGTTAAAATTTGAATTGTTTACTTACGATGCATAGATATGCATAATCAAATTGACATTGGAATAGCACATTTATACTGTTGTTTACATCATCTGTTTAGGTCGAGATGGAAGAGAATGCGGCTGAGTACGAATCAGCGATAGCTCGTTTGGATGAAGAAAGACAACGGTAATGTGCAATTTTCCATTTCCATAACTATATCACAGTAACAGAACCCCACCTAAGTAGGGAAAAATTAAGTTTCAACACAAGACAGCAACGGTCTTAAGAGTTCCGTACTACCGAATAGTCGCCGAGCGTTCTTTTGGTTTGCATGATCGCTTGCGTTGAATCTCCCACACTTGCATTTTGGCTTCACAGTTCATTCTCCAACCAGTGTTTTTCACCTCGCTACCTTGATAAGACCAGTTCACTACTGTAATGCGCTAACTCACTTTAAAGAATCCGGCGCCCAACATTGCTTTCTCCCGAATGCACATTACCTTGCTTTACATTGCACTTATTTGTCCTGAAGTTCACTGCCGTCTTGAGCTCTGGTTTGGCTGGTTTCACTTTTTTGCTTTGTCATTGGTTGTCATTGTGGAACACCCATGTCACGTTTAGTGAAGTATTCGCCTACAATACCCTCACACTCATTCCTTTACCCAGTCTGCTTGGAAATCGTCGAAGCGTCATTAATCTCCTTTGGTCTCATCTTTCCAGAGGAGAAACTTTGGCAAGTGTGAACACAGTGCTTCGTGAGCAACTAGACCAAGTTACGCAGACAAATCAATCACTTACAACGGAGAACCAGCGAATTCGGGAAGAGGCAGGACGCTTCCGCAATTTGTTAGAAAGACGTGAAGAGGAATGGCGAAACGAAGAGGCCGTTTTCAACGAATATTTCACCATGGAACACAATCGTCTTCTCACACTCTGGCGAGCAGCGGTATCCTGCCGAAGGCAGTTTGTGGAAATCAAAGGGCATATGGAACACGAATTATGTTCCGCACGAGCAGACATTGCGGGAGTGGCCCGTGTTTGTCAGACTGCGTGCGACAACTTTGCGGCTAATCTGCGCTCCGTGGAATCGCAAAATCAGGTTTGTCTAGTTCACTGGGTCAGTTTGCTCTATATAGGGAGAATGGCTTTTTGCAACGGCTTGATTATTGTACGGAGCCTCGCACCAGAACGGCCACAGTGTGGGTGGTTAAGTGCATCAACAATTCTGTCATATTGTGTTTGATCCGACGCAGTGTCGCATACACTATCTAGCCGGTCAACGGTTGTATTTAGAGCTTTTGAAACTTGCATCCCAGTACACGTTTCTAAGTTGCAACGTCATCTGGCTCGGTCGACAGATGTAGACTTTCAGATGCAGCGGTCATAAGGCACACCGGAAAAATCATGTTTGCTTGAGTCCATTAACTGGGCTGGAATGTAAGTTGATATCTATGTTATTCACCGAATCATCGCCGCTGGAATACAGCGGCAAACAAGCACATCTGGTGTCAAATGGGGCTTAAGCGGCCTCACTGATAGTTGATCGGACAGTAGAGCTGACACACATTGGTTGGTCCAAGTACCACCTAGTTACCAGTAACCTACGGAACAGCAAGTCGTCGTATAAGGCACAACAATGAGTTCTTCACCGCCCGCTTTACACTAAAGAATTCATAACACACGGAGTAGCTACACTATCAAATTAATGGCATTATTACAGGACATGGAGAGAGGAGCGAATTGTAGTCAAAGGTATAATCGGAGCTAGTGATAACCCCAATGGAATTGCTACAACCTTAGTATTCGCTTAGTTGCCGACGGCCCAAAACGGATTGGCAGAATATCTTGTGACATTCTTATCGAAAGATGTGCAAATGCCATGACGGCTGATTATGCTAATGGGTGATTTTCTGATTCACCCTCAAGTACCTCCATTCCATTCCCTGCGTCATCGATATCCATGTCACATTTGTCCATACTCAACCCTGGCAGACAAGCATATCTGACTATCGAATTACAGTAATGCTACTCTTGTTCATTTGGCATTGTTTATGTGAGGTCTGTATGTGATGGAAAACCGCAAACGGTTACATGCTGCATTAGATAAGTAAGGTTAAGTTCACGCGCAGTTAGCCGACAACGATAGCCGTCTATGAACTGTGCCGACCGTAATCCACCCAAAAGTGCCAGTAAAACCTTTTGGTGTGCCCTTTGAATCAAATCAGTTGCGGGAATGTCTGAAACAGTCATCGAGGTCTGCGCTCCTACAAGCCTTAGGGCTGCAATTATCTAATGGGTTCTGAATAGCAAATGTATACTGTTTTATAACTTAAGAAAAGCTATTATTTGACAGGTTCCGTAGGATGACAGGAGTGAGGATCATAAAAAAGACGGTTTAAAAAAGGACTAAGAAAAATGGAAAATTCGGGTTCATGGTGACCCACCCTCACCGCTACGTAACCGAGAGGGCTGGTTAGCACACTATTTGGTTGGCGTTACTTTGTCTTTCGATTAAGACGGATTATGTCACATAATTAATTTGCGGACGAAAATAACGTGAGAAAGAAGGGTGTTCCATATTCTGGATACCCGAACGGAGAACATGTTTTGTCGACAATCAAGTCGGCTGTGGTGAATGGTCAGTTTGAGCTGGTGCTTGGGGGTTGCCAGTATCTGGTGCACCTCGCAGGTGCCGATATTCACACTCGTACAAACCTAAGGTTTGCAATTTGCGTTGATAGAAAGTGAAATAGTCCTCTAACTATTTGAGTTGAGCGCAGCAGCATCGTGTTTTGCACCAATGTTGCCAGGCTTCGGTAGCGTACTCTGCGCAAGCCTCACGTGCGCGTTCAGCATTTGCGCAAAGTTTGAGGAGTCAAACTTCCCAAGCACCTTTCGCAAGAGTCCAAGGTGCTGACAAAATCTCCTCGATATCACTTCATCCTGTTTCGAGCAGCTAAATTTCTCTTCTACGCTTAACCCGAGGTCGCTTTCCTGCGTAGCAAGTTGCAGCTGCTGCTCTCCCCCTTTCAATATATATGAGTACAGTACTATGAGGTACCCATTGGAACAATAGAACAATGATTTCATACAGGTCCGGTGGGATGGTTATGTGAAAATGCAAAATATAAAAAAATTGATAGCACAATGGGGTTCGCACTAGTGAAATATACGTAGGGAAAACTGTAAATCCCATGTAAATCAATAAGGAATGAGAGCAAAATGAGCGTTGGTAAAAATCGTGTCTCCGCATGGTGCACAAATATTGGAGGTGAGAGAGTGGAACGAAATCTGGGAGTACCAGTGAAATCTCTTTCAGACCCATGGGTACTGGGTCATGTAAGATGGTGCATCGAAATAAGCACAAGGTCGACTCGGGCTTTGAACTTTCTCAGCCTGGGAGCACATATGTCAGATTTCGGCAGGTCATTGCACGTATGGCAAACGTGTACGGAAAAGGAATTCCGACGGCATTCCAACCAATTACGTTTCTCTGCCAGTTTGAGATGGTGAGATGGTGATCTCTCAAATCACTGTTGTGACTGAGCTCCAGCAAGTAGCGGCACGTGTGGTTGAGATCTCTAAAGCTTGGTAAGTTCAAATGAGGTCCTCGCGCTGTCGGTGATACCGTTCGCAGAAGACTCCGAGCAACTGAAGCCTCCGTTCATACGGCAAATTATGCAGACATTTAACATTCTTGGTTGCCCAGTGTTGTGGTATCTTCAAGGCGGTGAGCTCATTCCTCATCCATGGCTGACAGACCTGTATTGCGTAGTCCACATGTGGCCGTATGTATGAGCCGTGAAGTTGCAGAAATATCAAAGGGTCGAATAGTCCGAATGGAGGCTTCAAGAGACCGGCCTGTTGGATGCCCGTGCTTGACACCGCTTCAGCCTGATTCGAACATCCCAGATCGACCTGGAAAAAATACTCCCAGATCCTGCTCGCCAAAAGACATTTGAAGCTCCTGGTTGCCGAGTTTGTAGGAGTACACCAACTTGTGCCATAAGTGCAGAACTCTATATTTATCCATATTGAATCGAAGTAAATTCTGGATTGACTACGCCTATACCCTATCCAGGTCAGCTTTTGGTACTGTGATATCATCTGATCGCCCACCATACCTCCATATCATCGGCATAAAACAGTCAGTTCGAGCTTATGAGGTTTGCGATATTGTTAACATAGACCAAAAATTTCGCGGTTCAGGTACTGATCCCTATGCTACTCCGCATTAAACTTGGATGGGATATAACGGCGATTCGCGCACACGCTCCTCCAAGCATCAGTATCGAAGGAAGCTTCCGATCCACTCTAGGAGAGGATCACTAATACGAAACGGCGGTATGTTGAAGAGCAGAATATTATAGTCTAACCAGTCAAACGTCTTTGAAAAGTCGAGAAAGATTACATTAAATCCTGCGCCAGTGTCTACTTCTGTGGTCCATCTGGGTCATGCTAATAGAAGATACGAAGTGCGCGATCGATTTCGTCGGAAGTCATGCTGTTCCGATGCTAGGTAGTTAAATTCTTCCTAGTAGGACGTTTGCGCATCAGAAATAATAGCTTCCTTGACTGGTAGTGAGATTATGGAGCGGTAGTTGACTGGATTGCAACAACAACTTCCCTTGTGAATAAGATTACTCATCGCATGTTTCCACAAGTCGGGCACGTACTTTCCGTCAAAAATGTTGCAAGAACCAAGCTTAAGGCTAAGCTAAATGCTGTCCTACCGCCGCTAGCGATTTCGTTTGTATATTATCAACTCCAGGAGAGTTGTTGTTAAGCATAATCAACAGCTTTTTAATACAGCTTCTTCTGTGAAGGATATGTGAGTGACCTTTTGCGGGTGAAACAATCCTTGTCATAGGGTCGTGACCGACGATGGAACTGAAAGCTTGCAGCATATTCTGGGCGCAGGGTCTTATCGTCTCCTTCGGTGTTCGTGTTGGTCCGTCCGCTGTATGAAGCGGCGAATTTCCCCATTTCATTTCATTTAGACTGTTAACGTGTTGATGGAAAGCTTGTGAGTTGAGGCCATACGCACTACCAACTTCCGATGTTTCGCCATTCTATCCTCATGAACAGGCTGAGTACAGTGGTTACGTTGGGTCGCACAAGCCGTCCAGTTCACTGTGCTCGGGGAGAGTTTGTAGATATGCAGGCTGAGTTTTGCACCCGCTAGAAACCTGCGGGTCCTGCTTCGTAGCAACAAGATCACGTTTCTCGGACGGAAGGCCTTAGCGGCTGACATTTCGGCAATCAGAGATTTAAAATGGCTGATGAAGTGTTCCCATGCACTAGCTGGTACCTCGTCCGTCAGAAAGGTCCAGTTGACTGTCTCACTTGATGCAGGCATAGACTTCCTTCATATACGGAGGACCATGATTACTGTAAACTAATCGTCAAGTTGCAACTGCCGCATGATCCATTCCATACTCATATTTCGTACGCAGAGGTTTCACACTGCGATTCAAAGAGATTGGCTGGGCCTTTAAGTCGGCCGTTGCCTTGTTCGCCAAACATCCTTTTTACGCTAATGTATCTATCACAGTATTGCACGATTACGCAGACAGATGTTTCCTTCAATCAACTTCCAAGGTCACTGAGACTCTTTATACCATGGAACTTTGAACATACACGGGAGATATCACGCAGGATCCGCCATCTGTCTTTGGACATAAACTTCTACGTCACTTGAAACGAATGCTGCAGAAACAGTTTATGAAACCTTCTCCGTTTTCAATGGATATAAATCCCGAAGCCTTAGTCCAGCTTTTTGGAACAGTTGCCCGATCGATCAATGACAGTGCATCATCCTTTTTCTACCCATTGTAAACTTCAACATTTTAGTGGTAACCCATCGATAAATTTATACTTGATAATATTAACGCTACAAAAGCACCATCTTGGGTACATAAAGCATATACTAAGTTGATTTGACTTAATACTCGGTAAGCGGCCTTATAAAGCAGGGCGGAATCTTCAGCCACCACATGGCAGATGTCCTCTTATCCCTGGTAATTAATTTATAGGAGATGAAGCGGAGTAGCGCCTCATGGACATCAACTTGTTGCCTTGATTACAATGGCGCTGCCAGAAGCGCTTACCATAGCTGTTGGGTATCCGTTGACCAACAGTTATTCAGAGCTTATGTTATTGACTTTCACCCCTTTCTAGATACGGCGTGGTGGATGCCCAATCCTACAGTTAGGCGCTCCAGATGTATTATGTACATAGCTAGCACCTAGCCGATTTCGTTTCATCCCCGGTTATGCGTTGTATGCAACATAGTTGAGTGCGAAATGGCGGCCGGCCATTAACTTGGGCGAAATCCCCATCTGTTTGGTGGACGCTAACAAACAATATACAAGGATTGCTGCAGGAACCATTTTCACTGTTGCGCCTTAGTACGGAGCCATTTCAGGTTAAAATTTCCTCTACATCAGCTTCATTGTTTGACACTGCATACTTGGTATTGGAGACCACACCACTCAGGAATTACTGAGTAGTCAGTATGCAGTTAACCATTTTGCGACTATGTTTAGGCATCCACCGTCTGATCCCTATGGGATTCCATCTAGATCAGGGGTGTCCAAATTACGGTCCGCGAGCCAAATGCGGCTCGCGTTAACATCTCAACTGACCCGCCGCATCATCATGAAATAATAAGTAAGACTTAACTTTTTCCTATAGGTGTACTTTTTTCTTATTATCCTAATGTCAGACTGAACATGGCCCGACATATCTTTACCACACAAAATGTGACCCTCCTTGCAAAAGTTTGAATACCCCTGATCTAGGCCGAAGTGGGTATGATGCACACGCGGCTACCTCGAGTCTTGTCCGTGCACCACAGCTGAGCTATTTGGGGCCGAATGTTGGAATTCCCTTGTTCGATGGTACGAAACCCAAGACTATGGTGGATTTTAAACTTGGTCTACTGGCTTAAACAATGCTTAGACACGGGCAGAAATAAGTGGTATAGTTCTGAGGGTGAAGCGTTTTCCAGTGACACAGGATTTTTCGGTTTACTTCAAGCCAGCAGTCCGCATTGTGCTAATCCACCGTACCCATACAAAATTTGTGCACGCACCTACCGGAAAAGCAAAAATAGCAGAAGCTGTAATATCGTTTGTAATTTTATGGTACCAGACTCCGACAACTGGGTTTCACAATTCCACACATCATGAGCTTCGGCAGATGTTACAGTTAGTGAATAGGCACCACTGCTACTGCGTCATGGTGTTCAAGATGTTCAGTAACTATTTGTGTGAGCCAAACATGCAGTATTGTTTCCCTTTGTTCCAGATAAACTTGGAAAGGCAAAAAGGTGAAAACAAAAAGCTTTCACACCAATTGGAAGAACTACGTCAGGAGACAGACACCGCACGACAACAACTCGATACCGATCTCCGATCTGCCACCAAGAGGCTGAATGACGCCAACAACGAACTAATTGAGGTCAAGCGCCTTCTAGTGGACAAGGAGAAGACAATTGCCAGTTTGCAACGATTACGAACCGGTCAGAGTCACACTGGACGAAAAGGTGAGCAACGGTGTCCAGTATTTAATACCACACATCACTACGCACTTTTACTTTAGCCTATCTGGGCCGGTCACAATTTAAATGGTAGCCAGCCAGCATTTAATGCTTCGAGCTAGATATTGGGAGAAATTAGATAGAATCGATGGAAGCCAATAACGTTAACAACATATACTCCATAGAACAAAGTGATCCCTTGGTAGCGACCAAGGTTGGACCACTCTCCGACCTTTGAAATGGCATATTGGATAAATGCGCAATCGGTGTCTGTTTCACTCTTAACAAACGGGCCGAATCATGTGAACACTGGCCCTTCAAAAATAGTTTGTTTATCGTATACAGCTTCGTATAATGAATGAGCAATGTATAAAGTTGTGCATGTACTTATTGGATTGCCTCTAAGCCGTAGATCTCATTCTAAGGTCAAAACCCTTTGCGGATTTTGAAAAGCTTGGCTTCCTATGCTATCCACATGTAGGCCTCACGGCGGCTGTCTCACCGGGTGGTACAAAACTAAAAGCCTGACTGAATAGGTATGTTTCCAGAAAAGCAGCCACATTTGTGTGTTATTCATACCTATCTAGCTGAAATTAAATGTATAACAGTCGTATGTTCATGGTCTGCCACTGTTATCTTCCGCCCTTCGAGATCGCGCATTGTATTTCGTCCGGTGCAACCACTGAACAAGGATCCACTGGGAGAATCTGCCCAACTTTCGCAGACCAATCGACAAAGCACTGGTACAGGGCACACTCGTTTAAAGAGCCTGTGACATTGATGTGTCGGCACGTAAAACAGCCCAGCTAATTCATTATTGCCACTCTCAATCAGCAGGGTTGGGTTAGTCTGGAAAAGCAACAGAAGCCGGACTTGTGTTTCCCTCGAGATGGTTTCGGTACCTCCGCGGTTAGGACGAAAAGTGGCTCTGGCTCGATGAAGGTTTACCTTAGAGTCACGTTCAGTGCGAAGTTAGAAACTTCTTTGTGCAAAAGCAGAGAAAAGTACAAAAAAGACGCGCGTTGGACACGGGATTTCACTCGGGGTCACCGCAAGTGCTATCTTCCGCACCTAGTAAACCAGGATCGCATTCTCTCTGTCTGCGCACCGACTCCTCGGTCCATAGCGCTAAGGAGCCCAAACCTGCCTTGTAATCCTAGGGCGTGGATTCGAGACTGTGTAGGGGACCGGAATATCATCGTGTTATCCTTAGCCAACCTACGACTGGTAATGTTTGCCTGACAGCGGAGCGTTGCTACTGCGTTTCCGGCGTTCCGCTGCTACTCTCACACTTTTGTTTTTCCCTTGCCCTATCGGTTTCGCCGCGGCTGGGTGCGCAATGTCTGAGAAACGCGGCTTGCATTCATTTTGCTTACCCTATTCCACACCGTTGCTTAACGATCCGTCGTTCATCCTCCAGCCGTCAACCCCTTGAACTAACCGTGCGGTGATCAGGAAACACCTGCCAAACTCAGCCTGAATGATTGCTGTCTGTCCCTTTTAGATGTATCTACGTGGTAGGTGCGTTGTCGTCCCATGCTTTTTGCACAGTGCTCATGCCGTTGCATGCCGTTATGGGGTATCAGGTGAATACAAGTGTATTAGCGGATTGAACCTAATGTTTGCGTTTTGGGAGGGGGTTCGGCAGCAAGCAAAGTGATTTTCATCTTGAGTGCTTACCTTGCGAAGTCCAGGTTGCTTCTGTACTGAACAGATATAGTTTGGGTTTGTTTCAGTTAGTTTTTCTAGTCCTTTGAATAGTATCATAGTTTAGTTCTGGGTTTTTATTTGACCTAGTAGCTCTAGCTCTTACCCAATGTCCCAAAGGAATTTGTTGCTCATAATAAAATTTGTTCGAGCCATTCTTCATTCTTCTTCCAGCCATTCATTCATTCTTCATTCCAGCCATTCTTCATATATAACTGGCAAGCCAGTAATTATCAGATTGGGCATTGGCACTGCCAACTACACAACGCTTTAGGTAGAGAAGCATAAGATATGTTGCAAACTTCCGCTTGTAGCAACACAAGACAGTGACTCTAGAATGCACAGAATCGCCTGCAGAAATGTGTATAATGGATCACATTTCTAGTGTACCAGTTCCATCTCGATATTCTTCCCACTGTCAGTATCAATAAACTGAGTAACCAGCAGTTCGCAACTAAGCATACGCGGATGAATTCCGGTTAACAGCAACGAAGTTAACTTAGAACCGATAATAGTGCGGAACCAAGTATAATACTATGAACCGCTGAAATTACTAATTCGGTGGCGAAACTCTTGTGTTCGAGTTTACGCACTAGCCTTACATATCAGCGTCTGAAGGACTAACTTGAGCTGCTAGCGTGTACAGATTTATTCTGGTCTGAGATTTAAACTGTGGTTTTAGTGATACCCAAACCCGATATTACGAATTCACCCACTAGGGGTCACGTTTGGCTGCAAGCAAATAACGCATTTATTAGTAAGTCTAGCTCAAGTAAACACCGTGTTTCTGTAACTGATCTAGGAGCTTGCTTCGGATTGTATCTCCATCATGTATAGTCGAGGGAGCTACTATTAACGGCGCCATAGTCGACTGCGAAGACAGTGTGCTTTTGAAGTTATTTTTGCCGGGGGTTTGCATACTCATCACTAAAAGATTCAGACACCTTTATCTTCAAAGCATAATCATTTCCATAAAACTATCATGTCAAGCAAAGATGTAAGCCTCCGACTATTTACTGTCAGAGGTCATGCAAATTCCGAATCGTGCGTACCCTGTGATCAATTTTGTGCCAGAGATTTGGCAAGCCTGCCCTTTAACTTAGCATACATTATGTTTACTTTTTGCTTTCTTTATTTCGTATTGAAATAAAAACAGTCCGTAGAGCGGTCAAGATTGCTAAACTTCTGTCAATAGGAGTTATATTGGTTTCCTGAGAGCTCAAATTCCCACGGCTCACAACCGCCTCGTTCCTGTTACTGGAATCGGTACAGCTAGACAAGATTGGTTTGTCTTACCAATATCACAGGCCTTACTGGATGTGAAGCATGATAATGTGGCCATAGGTGGTTGTCATCGTTTTGCAAATGATAAAAACGCTTGGCGAAATGGCTGGATGGAAAATGTGCTATTTTCTTTGTTCAAGGAGCAGCTTACTCATTGGAAGGTGGCACCAGTATTAACCTGGGAAACGCTGCTTGAGTTAGGTATTGTGATTTTAACATTAATGATATGCAATCTTCCTTTTCCAATTGCACAATTGACGGAAATCTACGTTCGTTTTTCATTATGTCTGACCCCAGACTGGTCACAATCATAGTTAATAAAACAAAGCGTCTGGTTAACGAATTCCGCGCGTTGTAACTGTCTGAGAACGTGGAGAGTTTTAGTGTGATTCTATCCCAACACTGCACTCCATAATGCGTTTCGTCCTTATCTGAAATTATCAGGTACAGACAGTTTGCTTTGGGAGTGTAACTCAGCACCTAGTGTTTGCAGAAGGCCGTAGCACATGAGATGAAATAATAGTACCACCGACTGATCGTCTTACCACATTTATCCCTGAGATGAAATAGGGTTAAGTGTTCTTGATTTTTCACTTAAAATATAATACCTGAACAGACAGAATTGAAATGCAACTTTAATCAAGTTCTGTTGCAAATTCCCGCTACTTCCTTGACCACTTGCTGAGTTGCTTTACCCAAGAGAGAATACCGGCATCTCCTCAGTATCACTCCAAATGTCGATCATAGTGAGCTAATGAAATAATCATTGTTCTCAACATCAGACACAGTAGATATTTCGGATCCAAATGACCGAGCACTGGTGGAGGAAATGCAATCTCTCTATCAGGCGTTGAGAGAAATATCGCAATCGGTGCTAAATGAAGATTCGTATCCAATGTCTGTACCCGAGGAATGCTGCAACCGCTCTCGGTCCCGATCACCACGATATGCCTCCGGTCCGGGACTTCATGCAGCCGGGAACCGGATTTCACGAGCCGGCGCCTATGGACGTACAGGGTCCCCACCACCGCCTGTGAATGCCAATGGGACGTGTTATTGGGGTGACTCCGCACTTAGTGCAGTACAAGCGGCCTTCACCAAACGAGGAATTCAGGTAGGACGATGAAATTTCCTTGGTACAATTATTTGGCATTGCTAGGTAGTAAAGTTACCTCTGCCATACATACTCCTATCTAAACAAAAACTTCATTTTCTTATGGTTGCTACTATGGTTGTTGTTTTTGCTTTGCCAAATGTCGGCAGAATAGTAACTCTACGAGCTGGTGGAAACACCCACTATCGACTAGTTTTGAAAGGATGAAAAACCCATTCGGTGCACTCCAAAGTGTTATTGCCTAGTAAAACAGTCTAGCTGTGATCAATTGCGCTTCCGTCATTCAATCAGCTTTCACTAATTTACAAACTATCCTATCATTAAAAAAATTTGTGATACATCACCACTGGACACTAGATTGAGACTTACACCATCCTGTGCGTGTCTTGAACAACGGTTTATATTTCGAACGCAAAGCATTATAAAATCTTGATCACTCATTTCTTATATATTCGTTTATTATGAGATGAGTGTTTTCTTTGACGCCAGCTTGGTGTAACATTTCATGCAAGGTTCAAGGTGACTGGCACAATACAACTTGCTTGTTGGTGTTCCGATAAAACGCGCATGCATGTCTTCCTATCCTTATCGCAGTTTGTAGATGAGGTGTCAGATATATTGGCATTCATCTAGAGAGCTTATGCTTGGGATGGACCTATCCATGCTACCTCATTTGTTGTATCAGTACAACGCCGCTTTTGCTTTCGCGTTTGTGATCTATACCAACGTTCTCTTTGCAGTGAACTACCATTCCCCTGTTTTAGTTGTCCGATCTCAGCTCGAAGTTGTCAGCCATGACCAGCCAATATGAATCATTGAAAGCACAATTAGAGGATGGTGAGAACGAACGGCGAAGGCTGGAGCAGGAAGTGTCGCGTATACGAAATGAGGTTGACTGTCGTACAAAGGAGAAAGAAGACTCACTTAGAGATTTCGAGCGTTGTAAAGCGTCACTTCAATCAGCCAACCATGACAAGACTGAACTGGAAAAAGCACGTTCCACGTTAAAAGAACAAGTGAAAAACTTGCAGACTGAGTTGGAGAGATCACAGAATGCGTGCAATGACTTGAAGAATGCCCGTGAACGGATGAATGAAGATCTAATGAACATGAACCGCAATATGGAAAAAAGCACGCGAGAGGTGGAACGGTGTCAACGATGTATTGAGGCTTTGGAAGAGAAGTTATCCGCCGCAAGGGAGGAGGGTACAATCTTGCGTGAGTCACTGCAGTGTGCTAGACTGGAAGCGGAGATAAAGGCCACGGAGCGAGCTGATTTGCAAGAAGCGCTGTCGAAGAGTAATGCGAGAAAAGTTGAGCTTGAGGCAGAACTTGGAAGCTTGCAGATGGAAGAGAACGCACTGAAAGAACGTTTGTCGAGACAGCAGGTGAGTTCTGTTGTAGCTATTTTCATTTTCGGAGAACCCCTTCTCTGTGTTCACTACTCTTCTGCATATGCCGTCCGGACCTAATGTGGTTATGTTTTGCTAGCTGACCACAGTGTATAATAAACGTTTTTATATTATTATACAGGTTGTCAGAATGCTACACTAGTAACCCGGTGCGGTTGGATTTCTCATGTAGCAGGAACTAACATAACGCTCGTTAAGAATTTTCCAGACAGCTAATAACTGCTTGGATAGCAAATTTGGAAACTTTAAATGCAAGCGCTAACTCCGTGTGTTATTGCGGTTCAGTTAGTGCATACTATTCCTGAATCTCCAGTTTTGTGATCCAAACCGTAGGAGAGGCGTTTGTGCTAGATTCAGATGCAGATGGGACTGGAACGATGGGAAAATCCTTTGAGTGTTCCTACTTGAGTGGACCGTTGAGCCAGGAAATGATAAGGTGCTAGGAGGTCTTGATGGATCTAAAACGAAAAACCCAAATCACACCCTGATCAACCAATTATTGCCCACGTTCCTTGCACTTGCAGTCCCCGCTGTGTAGATCACGTGAAGTAAAAGAGACGTATAAAGAAAATGGAAGAGAAAGAGAAAGGAAACTCATTTAAATGAAAGATAACATTAAGAAGTGAGGAGAATGACAGAATATAAACTCAAGGTTGGAAGATGGATTTGGTCAGGAAAAGGGAAAGCTTTCGTGTTGCCACCCAAAGGCGTCTAACTGACGCTCGAAACCTTTAACTGTAGGTTCACTGACTACAATTTCTGGAAGCGAATTCCAGCGCTAGATAACTGTACGCGATAACCGAGTTTCCGCCTTGATCCGAGGGGAACGCAGCTTGTGTAGCTCCAAGGGGTGACCACGAAGACAAGGCAATGCAGCCGGGCTAGCCAGCTCAAGTCCGGTCCAACCTTCCCCGTTACAACACGGTAAGTAAGGAGTAGGTCTCCTCGAAGCCGTCGGTAGTGCATTGAACACATACCCAAGCAAACTAGACTCTCGGGGTACGATTGCCCCCTAACCTCTCGACCAATTTAGTACCTACTCTCAAAACCCTCTCGAGCTTCGATTTGTTCCGAACAAGACAGGGCGAGCAAGCCTGGACGCAGATGGGGCCGAGCGTAAGCTGAGAACAACTTCTCAAATATGTCGGCAGTTAAGACCCCGAAAGAACGGCGTATTAACCACAACATTCGAAAACCCCCTACTTGTGGCTTTCTTCCAGTTGTCAACAGAATGCAAAGAAGGGGAATGCACGACGCCTAGGTCTATCTAGTTAGAGACAAGGGGGAGTTCGACTCCACCGAGCACGTAAAACGAAAGTAGGAAAGTTGCTCCTATTCGAAGGACGGAACACAGCCTGATTACTGGGCGGTAGCCACAAAGTAGGCCAATCCAAGTGTCTGTCGAGGGCATGCTGAATGGCCTCAGAACCCCCAGGGACATTTACAACATTCCATTGCTTGAGATCATCAGCAAACAATAGCGATGATACCCCAAGCTTCCTAGCGAGATCGTTTACATTGATGGAGAACAGCATCGGTCCAAGGACCGATCCCTGTGGGACACTGCTAAAGACCGCTTGCCTACAGGTTAAGCTGCGACCCACACGTACACATTGCTCTCTTCCATGCAAGAATGTAGATACTTAATGAAGGACACGGAAAGATACGCTGCAGGAGCTCAGCTTTTGTGATAACCTCGAGTGGGGTACCTTATCGAAAAGTCGACGAAAAGCACACCACTACGTCGGCATTGTCCACTGCCACGGCCCAATCTTCACGAGCAACCAACAAATTCGTCAGTCACGAAAACCCCTTTCTGGAATCCGTGTTGTACACTACTGAGCAGACTAAATCTATTCAGGTGACCTTCCAACGAATCTCTCACCAGCTTTTCAAGCAGTTTAACCACGACGCTAGTCAGACTGACCGGCCTGAAATTGGCTGACAGACTCCTGTCGCCTTCGTTGAAGATAGGACAGATGGCAGACTCCATCCATTCAGAATGTAATATATAGCTGTAAAATGACCTTTGAAACACCATCGTCAGAGGTCCACTTAGTTCCACCGCCAACACATGCAGAAACTTCGGATGAATTGAATCAGGCTCAGCTGTTTAGAAGGGTACAGTTCTTGCAGCAACCTAAGGACTTGCGTTTCCACCACAATAGATTTAACTAACTAAGAACCCGCAGAGACGCTGGGGACAAGTTCAGCGCTAGTCAACGCGACCTTACGTACAATAGCCCCATGCATACTGCTCACCAAGTACACGAGTCTTGTCCGAGTCCGCATACGCATGAGTTCCATCGGCCCGCATCAAAGTTGGAACTACCGAATTTGAACCAAAGCGCATGTTAACATAAGGAAAGAACATCGGATTTGCCGAAACTCTATAAACCAACCGCTTTTTATACAACAGCCGAGCTTTCCTCAAGTGTTGTTCACATCTATTTCTAGCCTCGCGATACTTATTATAGGTGCTAGGTGATGAAGCCGCATGGTAGGTCCTCCAGCACCTAGAACGCTTCTAGAGCATGTACTTGCCAGGGATGTCTATCCACGGTAACCGTGCTCGTGTCTCTTTTCTCGTCGCGTGCGGGATGTAGGGAGTAGACATTTCCGTGAGATAAGACGTACATTTATCCCAGGCCGCGTGAACCGTATCTGCCACCGAGATTTCGCAACAAAACCCAGAAGCTTTGATACGCATTGCCTGAAATGCCATATGCTTGGATATGGCTCAACGATGCTCTGGTAACGTCTAGTCAGAGCACACCTGAACGATAAACAAACATGATCACTAGAGCCTAAGGAAGAGCTGTAAGTGATGTTGCCTAGGAAGTTTAGTGAGCTGATAAAAACTAGATGAAAAATAGACGGTACTTGGGCATCCATGTACCTCGCAGGGAGGTCCACGAACTGATGCAATGGTACTAGTTGCATAAGCTCAAGGAGAACTGCACCGAAAGTACCTTCCGCCGTGTTGCAAGAAAGATTTGCCCAGCAAACTTCCGCTAGAACCAAGTCACCCAGTATCAAACACCTGTTTGCTGATTGGGAGCGAATAAATCAAGCACCTCTTTGGACGCACTCCCAGAGCTTCTATACACAATTGCAACTTTAAGTTGAGCCGGGAACGTGCTTATCACTACCCACAGAGCTTCGACAGTTTTATCTACCAACTGAAACATGTAGGTACGCTAAACGTCAAGTCCACAGCTAACGTAAAGGGCAAGCCCCCGCCTAGTCGGTCAACGAAGCGATCACATCTAACTAGTGCGTAGCCAGATAGATGTAGTTCACCGTCTCTAATGCCCTGAGACAGCCACGTTTCAGTGAATACGAGTATACCGGGATGAGTCCCATCTACAAACAGACCTATCTCGCACATCTTATTCTTTAGGCTGCACACATTGCTTAGAACTATCTGAAGGTATTCGTATTGTCTAGCCGTGCGTAATGCGCTACCCGGACTGACACTGATAGGGCGGGAAAGGACCATCCACTGATCACCCGAAAGCCCACCTACCGGAGACTTTGTTCACCGTCCGCTCGCCTGGTTTTGAGGTCCTTGACGGTCGTTTTTAGCTTCAGGCTATCCGCTGGCTGGAGATCTGGTTGAACGCTAAAATTAGTACCCTTCAGTTTCAAAGTAAAAAGCAACAGCGCGTTGCGTTTCTCCGGAGTGGATAGGACCACACAAAGTAAGCGAGGTCGTGGGTTTATTGTGTTAATTGGGACGTTACCCAATCAAGTCAGTTTCCTGACAGTTACACAGGGAAACCCAGGCGGATGAAGCTTCATTGCGCCCATTTGAAGCCACTGTAGTTCGTCCAACGTATGTTCAGTACGAAGTGCTGCAGTGGATTCCAATACATTACAGAATATCTCCCTGCTATCAACAAAAGCATCACCTCGACGGGGTGTATTTACTCCACGAGATTTCGCATTTACATGAACAGCAGCCGGCTTAGCCGCAAGCAATGAGACTGGGCGCACCTTGCCAGACGACGCTGAAGCAACTGTAGCCTACGTCTTATGCTCCAGCTTGTTTGACTCATCATTCGTGACGCTTTTCGAACTTGCCTGAAGAGTACGGCAGTTCTGTTCCGATATTTTTTCGTCCTACAGACGAAGCAACCCGTTGCTCAACGTCGATACCCGCCTCCACGACCTGCACCCTCGGAGGATAAGGTGAAGTGTTTGGAGTAGGCACATCCGCAGTTTGATTAGCACGCGATGGAGACATCTGGTGTTTTGCATCCCTTTTCTGCCCATGCTTATGTGAAGCGGAGGGAATTTCATCAACTGCTGGTGTTTCTTGTTTAGGCGCTTGTATCTTGAGCAATTTCTCGCCTCCCGGTTTTGTGGCGAAGGGTTTGCGGAATTTTATTTTCCTCTTTCTCTTCTTTTTTCTGGCGCAAGAGCCCGTGATTCGCTTTCCATTTGGGCAGTGTCAACAATGTTGTCCGAGGCAACTGAGTCAGCTATCTCTATGTGAACTGGAGCGTTTAGTAGGATGAACAACCCATCAACAGATGGACTGTCAGCAGGTAAACAGTCCGCTACGGTGTCCTTATTCGCAATACTCAAGGATTTCATAATCGAACCCACTTTCGTTATAAGCGAGGCAAGA